GATAATTCAGTTGTGTAATGTTGCAAATCAGTTGCCAGATGAGTGCACTGACCCTATGATATAATTCAGCTGCAAATGCTTCAATGTGAAGTCCTTGAAGGACAGAGTCTATGATACGCCGGAAGCGTAATAGACCAATCGATTCCAAATATAAAATTTCATGAAGGCAAGTGCTATAAAGGAGCACATTGACATAACACTTCATAAAATCTTGAAAAAGGTTCAGGTACCTGAAATAATGAAAAATGAAGAGATCTCGATAAGTTATGTCTTATTGGAATTGATATCAAATAATCGTCGACGGTATCTTTGATATGAGGTACCGTTCAATGATATAAATTGTGACGAGGATCTTAAATTCAAATCTGTCATATAGTGTGGACAGATAAATGGTTGGCCAAGTAAAATGCACAATTCAAGTATATTTTGTTTCACTTAGAAAAGTGACATTTTGGACTGGTAGTCCATAAATCAAGTTATAATGTCAGTGGGGTACAAATAAATTATTATGTGATAGTATAACCGTAAGATATCAAATACGATTTGTGCCTTGGGGCATAAAGGTTTATCGCAAAAATACTGACATTATTGGAGATATTTTCTCCTTTGGTAGATGCAATGAGGTTTGTTTTGATCTGGCAACATATGAAAACTTGAATGCATGTAATGAATAATTGTAACGTCTAGCTAGACAATGAAGATTATATGAAAATCATTGAAACAATCGAGGTGTCTGAAACATATAAGAGTTTGAAAGAAACTTTTCCAATAAAGCTTCAAGAATCCTTATATGGATTGAAATAGTCAAGGAAGAAAAAGGGTACAAAAGAATGACCCTAATTGTCCTTGAATTTTTATGAAAAGGTCTTGGTAAGACAAAATTTTGTCTTGACCTACAGATTGATAATTTGACAAATGAAATATTTGTCTAACAGTGCACATACACTGAAAAGTTTTGATGCAATTTTATATGGATAAATCGCATTCATTGAGTACCCCAATGATTATGAGATCACTTGACATAAATGATGATTCAGTTTGATCTCAAAAGAAGGATAAGGAATTTCTTGGTGATGAAACTCTATCTTGGTGCAATCAGGGCATTAGTGCATTTTACTAACAATATTTGACCAGATATTTGTTTTGCAGTATATTTACTGGCAAAATTCAGTTTCTTCCCAATAAAAGGACATTGAAATGGTGTTTAGCACATGATTGAATATCCTCGAAGAACTATAATTATGGGTCTATTCTATCCTGAAGAATCCAAGACAAAATTGATTGGTTACCCAGATGCAAAATATTTATCTGATCCGCATAAAGATCTATCTCAAGCACGCTATGTGTTTGCATGTGGAGGCACAATAATATCCTGGCGATCAATGAAGCAAATGTTGCTATGCAGAAATAAAAGTCCTCCATGAAGCAAATCTAAAGTGCGCCTGGTTGAGATAAAGGACACACTATATTCAAGAAATGTGTGGTTTTTCTTTGAAAAAAGAATATACCAACCACAATGTACAAAGATTGGAGACATCATCACAAGAAATTAAGTGATGTTTAATCAGGGGAGTATAATACGCGTTGCACTCTTTTTTCCTTGATCGAGGTTTTTTCCCACTGGGTTTTCCTGACAAGGTTTTTAATGAGGCAACAAATAGTGCGTATCAAAAGATATGTGTACTCTTTTTCCTTCACTAGAATTTTTTCCCACATGATTTTTCCTAGTAGGGTTTTAACGAGGCACATTATCTATGGACATTCAAGGGGGAGTGTTATAAATCTATTGTGTTATGTGGATGATCCATTAGAGTTATCCAACAATTAATTAGATTCATGTATTAGTGTTTCCAATGTGATAAGATTCAAGGTGATATGAGCCTTGATGATAACTATGTATAATTCCAAGGTGATATGAACCTTGATGATAACTATGTATAATTCTAAGGTGACCTTTGACTATAATATCTCAACACTATAAATAGAGATATCATTCACCATACAGTTGAATATGAAGAAAATTCCTCTTCTTCTGTCTAGTTCTCTTGTCTTCTTCTCTTTATGATTATATTCTTATGAGCTTGATTTTATAACAAATAGTTAATTGTTTTTTTTTTATGATCTCTTAAAGAACACGGCAAAAAATAAAGTTAATTAACTAATACAAAAAAAAGGGTATAATTTTATTTTTTATCTTTTCAATAATTTGATAATTTCATAAACATTTAAATGCATTAAATATACTTCAACAAGATGATATAATGGAAAGATCGTTAGTAATCTTGACAAACAATTACATAGGTCTTGGTACTATTTTCATGTAACCCAAAATCGAAAATTATCCATAAACTCCTACAGTTCTACATATATACATACTCTCTTGGTTATATAATATCTATTTATTCTTGAAATTCAAGCTATGTGAGGCCCTCAACTGTCATTAATCTTTTCGTAAATAACCTTCAGACGCTTTTTGAAAAAAAATTATAATTGTTGTTTATTCCTATTTTATTAATTGATTTGTCAAATAGATCGAAAGACGAATAATTCAAATTAAACGTAAAACTAATTTAGGTGATGTATCTACTTAGCACCCATGGACTCTAAATTCTGAATCCGCCTCGGAGAATGACACATATAAAAGCTCAAAATGTAATGACCCGCCCAAATTCTAAATACTTTTCTTTTTTGTTGTTGAAACCCACCCGTTTAACTGGATCTAATCCATTTAATTTTCATTTTCATTCTTCTTTTTTCAACATCAGAACCTTCTAAACCTTATACTTTTACAATTTACACTGGGTTTCATTTTCTTTTTTTAATTTTGGACTATTTTTTTTCATTTGATTGTTTATTTGTTGGATAGTAACAAAGATGGTCCTAAATTTGGAGATTGTCATACAATTATTATTCAGTAGTCACTGAATTTAAATGTGAAAATATTATACACAAATAAAGTTTATTATTGAAAAGCTCTGAAAGAGTTGTACTGGTATGCTTAACCTTAAAATTTGACTTTGTTGTCATTTAAGGTTAATGTCCTACTCATGGCTAGATCAAACTATGAAGGAATGAATTTTAACTAATGAACATAAACGCCTTTTTTTGAATGTTTGGATATTGAAAAAAAGAAGAAATGAAAATAAAATTAATTTGATCCATTTTACGGGTGGATTTCAACAAAAAAAAAATAGATTTGGGACTTTTTCTTTCAGCTTGACATGTGTCCTACGGTTATAATTAAGGGTAAATTTGTGTCAAAGTATGATGAGCGAATATATATTTGGCTGGAAAATATAACAAATGATATATTTAAACTATTTCTAGTAGTACAGAAATATATTTAATCGTTTCCTGAAATAAAATTGTATATAGTATTGTGCATAATTGAAACGAGGCTAAATTTAAATATTTTAAATGATCATTCATAAGAATAAGACGTTCAACTTCTTAAACACATGTAATTGAGAAAATCATCATATTTAATGCCTTAAAAATTTATCAAATATAGTTACGGACAAATTTAAAGGATCGTATTTGTGTTTTACAAAATAGGAAATATGACATGGCACCATAAACCATTGATGATTGGCTACAACTACAATTGGCTTGTTTCACCAAATCTTACTAAATGGATAAGATCCATATTTTTTATAATGACAAATAATAGCCTATCCCCTAAGCCAAAAAAATTTCACAAACAATCCACATGGCAAGTATTCTCCACCCCTCATCCCTCCTTTCCTCCTCCTCTTCCACCACCACCACCACCACAAAACCACCAGTATCACCACCCTTTTCCAGACCCCAATCCACCTTATCACCACCCTCTAAACCCCTTTTAACCACACTAACCGCCACAGCAATAGCCACCACAATACTAACGACCTCTCTCCCTTCTTTAGCAGATTCCCCCTCCAGCTTCAACATTTACTACGGTACAGCTGCTAGCGCCGCCAATTACGGCGGCTACGGAGGAAATTCCGATAAGAAGGCGTCGGCTGAGTATATTTACGACGTCCCCGATGGGTGGAAAGAGCGTCTGGTGTCGAAAGTTGAAAAGGGCACAAATGGAACAGATAGTGAGTTTTATAACCCGAAGAAGAAATCTGAGAAAGAGTACCTTACTTATCTTGCTGGGTTTAGGCAATTAGCGCCTAAAGATGTAATTCTGAATAACTTAGCTTTATCTGATGTGAATTTGCAAGATTTAATTGCTAATGCTGATGGGGTTACTTCAGAAGAGAGAAAAGATGAAAATGGGCAATTGTATTATGATTATGAAATTGATGGTGTTCTTGGTCATAGCTTGATCTCTGTTACTTGTGCTAATAATAAATTGTATGCTCATTTCGTCAATGCGCCGGCGCCGGAATGGAAGAAGGATGAAGGCATCCTGAGGCACGTCCATCAGTCTTTTAAAACGGTTGGGTAATATGAGATTGTAATTGTAACTGTCTATAGAAAAAAGAGTTTCGGAATTTGTAATAAGATTGAGATACTCAATGTAATCACTATCTCCTCATATGGATTTTGGTATCTGAGTTGTTTTTGTGTGTTGCAGTGTTGGTCTCTATCTGTACATTACCTTTACAATGAACTTGCATCTTGTATGCAGTGTTCACCAATCTGAGATGTCCATTTGCATCTTGGTTGTTTCATCTTTGCTCCCTAGTTAGCGATAATGTCTGCTACGTGCGTCAAAGTTCTCGAGCAGTAACGTAATCTCTTCCAACAGAGAGGTTCAGAATTGAGCTTAACGGATCCATTTTGTCCAGTTTTTGTAGATTCTATCCAACTATACAGAGTGTCCCGAGTTGCAAAAAGGATTAATGAAAGAAACAAACAAACTTATGAACACATTGCACTACCTCATGATTTATGCAGTTGACAAGCCAACAACAACATCTAGATAGCAAATTGGCCTATAAGGTAGATGCATCCTCCCACGTCCAGAAGTTGAAAGTCGCGGAAATGAGGATGTTGATATGAACGGGTGGGCATACTAAGAGAGATAAGATTAAAAATGAGGATATGCGGAATATTTGGAGGGTGATCTCCTTGCTGAAGCAGACTTAAGATTTAAATTTTACGAGTTTTCATAATATTTCAAGTTAATATATGATAAAATTTGAGTTCATAGTCAAATATTTATAAATATAATTTTAATTAAATTCAAAAGAAATACTAACTTCTAATAGAGGCATTATCACCATACTATAATTGTTACTATTTTGCTCTACTGTTGGCAAAGTTATAGGTTCTCTGTTGTTACCAGACTAGTTGCTAGTTTCCATTATGACTGGTAGCATGCAGTGGAACAGCTGCTGAAGCAAATTAAAGCCACTGGGAAGATGCAGGTCTGTTTTAGCATATGGTGTAGGCCATATTCCTAATGACATAACATTCACCTTTAGGCAAACTTACCTTTTGCTCTATTTGACCCTCCCAGGTTCTTGCATTAAATATTTAAATTCTTCTTTCACTTTCCTTTTCTTTTTCTTTTTTTTTATAATCGTGGTGTCTGAGTTATCTTACACATGTTCTTTTACTCCATTGGTATTACTAGATTATACGTCTTGTTGGTTCACAGTTAGGAGTTGATACCGTAGTCTAATTAAAACATGTTGTTAATTCCCTTTGCATTTTATTTGTTTTGTTGGGGTGTTTGTATTCCTCGCAAAATTGTTGGGATCGATATACCTCTTGAGCAAATGATTGGATAGAATATGTTCAACGGTGTGCATGGTTTTACCGGACTATTGCATATGTAAATTGTAATCATCTCAATTCATCTCATGTGCAAGACATTTTAGTTGATCTTATCTCCATGATCTTAGTTTTTAAGGTCCATTTTTGAATGCGCGAAGAATGAACAAAGTTGTGGCCTTAATCTGTTGAAGGGAAATGTTGAATGTCATTACCCTAAATCCAACAAGTAGAGTGGCATGTATCAGCTGTTGCAAAACTTGTACAATTTTGCCTAAATAGTCATATGAACTAACTGCTTCCCTCTTGTCTATTATGGTGCAATAACTGGGGAAGGATGCAAGCATAATCGTATACACGATTGGCTTTTTGATCTTCAACAACAGCACATCAGGAGTCGAAATCAAGAAACAGGTACATAATACATTTGAGTTTCTCTTCTATGAACACATCCTAATGTACTTCAGCCATTTTACATATGCAGTACCACTTGTTGGCGACTAATCACTGTTTCGTTTGGCTGCTGCTTAGTCTTTATATTTCATGTTTGAAACTATAGAGCATAGGTTTGTTACAATCCTCGCGGATTTGAATCTGATTTCAGATATACTGCAGTATGAAACACACTGCTCAGAAGACTGTTTCGTCATACTACTTCTTGGACGAACGGTTAAAAAATGGCCTGAACTTCAGAGTAGCCAACATTTATGTGTTGATCATAGTTGTAATGAAAACATCACAATTCACAGGTAACCATAATGTTCTGCTCAGCTTCTTTTAAGCTAGTGGATTCGTCTGAACCTGTGAACCCCACCTAGCTAGTGGAGCAGTCACATTGGCTACTCTGTGGTGCAGGGGTACTCTACATACCGATGAACGCGAACATTTTTATGTAGGTCTGAATAGAATAGAACTGAATGTACCAGATTTATATCAGGAATGATAGTTTGACCTTTAAACACGAAAACTATTTGTGGTTATGCAGGTGTAACTGATTTCTTCTAGTTTTCAATTGATAATATAACCATTCTTATTTTAAATTATTTTTCATAAGATAGTACTTCATGTATGTCAAATTTCTTCTAATCATTTTCATGAAAAGATTATTTTTTTACAAATAGTATTTAATATTTGCTAAAAAATAATAACTTATAACCTATTATTATTAAAAATGAGACCCCTTAAATTTGGGGGTCTAAGACACAGGTCTTTTCTTTTAACACTGTCGAGTCACCCCTGCATATGTCCTTAAATGTTTTTTTATTAATTTCCCGTTATCCAGCATCCAGAGTATTCATATTAGAGTTCGACTAAATTTATATTGGAACAGAAAGTCTCACCATATCCACATTGAAGTGCGACTAAATTTAGATCCGTGCTAGAAACTCGAATTCGCGCCAGAGTCACGCCGATAATATTCATATTGAAGTCTCATTAAATTTAGATTTGTGCTAGAAAGTCTAGTTGGGAGGCAAAACACTCCCTAACAAAAGCAACTTCGTATTAATGAGATTCAACTTCATATTAAGGAGACTCAAATCTAAATCATCAGACTAAAAATAAAAAAATATTTATCACTCCACGAAAATCCTAATCGTGTCGTTAATGCTATTCTATCAGTCAATATATACGCTTATAAAATTATAAAAGTGCCTCAAATTTTTCCCAACTCCATTCATTATAGCCAAAATAAGATGTTTACTGATCACCCCAACAATAATAGTAAATATATAGAGAATATAGGAAATAAATTTGGGTGCCACCAAGTGTTGAATACAAGATGGTTAAGAAACTAAAATGGAAAAAAAAAATACACTTCATCTCCAAATATTAACCCTCAATGAATAGAATTTTCTGCAATAAAAAGTTAAAAACTGAATTATTTATATGTCATCAACTTTTTCTGCAACCAACTCCCTTAGTATTATTACTGTATGTAATGTAAGAAACAAAATGACATATATTTTTTCTCTCCTTTTTATTTCTAGTTTCCGTATTATATCACCTTTTTTGCTTTTTTTTTTTTTTTCTTAAAAGAAAATATTGCTGTTCAGCCTGTTCTCTTTCTCCTTATATGCACTTTATTCCCTTTCTATATAGTAAAAAAAAAAATAATTACTTTATTTTAAAGAAATAAGCATTGATTTCCACATATTAAATCCATTTATTTTTCCTGAAATAAACAAGAAACGAAAAAAAATCCATTCGATGCATGATATCTCTATTCACTATTAAAAGTTATTGACATTTTATGATATATTTGATGAATATTTCATCTTTATTTTGATTGAATTAGTGGAAAAAGGAAAAAATATTAGTGTTTTCACATAAAAAATTAGAAAATTTTAAAGTATTTCAATGAGAACGTGCGCGTTTTCCCGTCGAGCTGGTCCGGTGTTTGGAAAATCTTGTTTTATAACAGAATTTTCATTAAATTGATGTGAAAACAAAATTTGTTTTTTTATAGTAATTGAAGTCCGACTAAATTTGAATTTATATCTTGCGAGGCCTATTTTTATGGGATGGCGTTTCTAACGAAATGTTTTTATTCCCAAAACTTTAATCCAACAATTTTAGTTAAGATGAAGAAATTTAAATCATAACCCATATTGCTATAGAACACAAAGTCATGTTAAACAAACCTAATAGAATTGTTCTTCAAAAAAACATTTTTCTCAACAGCTAAACAAAACGCACGCATAAGAAACGGATTCAATTGAATTTGATCACAAGATTCAAAAGTCTTCTTTATAATCTTAAACTTCGTATCAGGTCAAATTATATCATTTTTTGTGAAACCGAGAGAATAGTATACTATTAGAAAGAGGAAGATTCATTTTCTTCACATGACAAACCCTAATTAACATATTTTGCCAACGCATATTCTCAACCTTATATTTTTCCTAACAATTAAGAAGAAAACTTAGTAAACACTGAAACAATACACATCTTTATATTACATAGCTAGAAAGAAAAGAAAAAATCATTTACACAAACCTTACATTTCTCATCCAAAATAAAATAAAAATAGAACGAACTTTAATTTGAATATCATAACAAAAGCAAAGTCAACATATAGCTCGTTACAAAAGTCTTCGACCTTTAAAGTTCTTAGCACTGAACTGTAAACAATGATTTACATTAAATCTTGTTCAATCTCAGAGTTTGATTCTTCCTCTAGTTCTTCAAGATTAGGTACCCCAACTGCGCCATGACCGCGTCCAAATGACTTAATATGGTCTTTTAGAGACCTCTTATGCTTAAAATCAGATCCACAAATACAATACCAAATCTTACCACAATTCTTCTCATGAGTTCTCCAATCACCTTTCACAGCAAATGGCTTACCACATTTTCTACACATGAAAGGCTTAGCACCATGCTTCCTCTTGTAATGTGTTTGAAGTGTTCTAAAGTCTTTTAATGGCCTTGCTCTTGGGTGATCAATGTTGTGTTTACAACCAGGTGCACAACAGTAACATGGTAGCCTTAACATTGCACTTGGTTGTGTACCTCTTAATGATTCTGGACCTTTTCTGTATTGAGATCCATGTCCCCACATATGCATCTAATTAACAAGATCAAGAAAAACTCTAGTTAGAAACAAATGTACTGATACGGATTTAAGTTATATACCTTGATTGACGAGTAAGAGTTTACTATTTCTTTCTTTTGTAAAAGTGGCAATAATATAATATATTTAGCAGCAATAATATAATATAGGTTTTTTATAACCATTTTTTTATATATAAAAGTCATTAAAGACTCATGCTCAACTATATGCTGCTAAAAGTTTTAGCAATATTAGATGCGATAAATTAAGTAATTTACTCAATTACTGCTAAATGTTCATG